CACTTCTTACGAAGAGTACAAACTTTCACTCTGACACTGGTGATGTCGACCACCATCATCCGGCTGAGGGATGTGTCAGGTTTCTCACTCTAAAGTTGCTCTTCCTCTCCACTCTCTTCTTCTGTATTGGCCACACTCCACCTCTGAGGGCAGAGTATCTACATGAAGTCTTCTGTGTGGGAGATGTCTTATTTCCCATTTATTTATTCAATCAATCATTTACTTCTATGTTTACGGACACATGGATATTTTATACTTTGGGTTACAATCCAGCACTATTTTCTTTTGTTGTTCAGTCTAGCTTTGGCCATTGGGAGTGTTTTCAGCTGGTTTCTGTGTTCATATTAATTTTTAATATGGACAGATATAACCCGCATAAACAGAAGATATAAACAAAAGGTCTTTGAGAGTCCTCAGTAGTGTAAAGGGCTTCTGAGACCAAAACGTTTTGAGAGCAGCTGCTGTAGGGGACCGCTCCTCCTAGCTAACCCCAGGTGTATGTACGTGGGTTTTCAGCAAGAAAGGTCTGGGGCCCAGGCAGAAGACATAGAAGCCACGCTCCCGCACCCTTGGGAGCACCGCATTTCCACACTAGTGCGTTCTTAGTGTTCTTGGCCATCTGAAACGCAGGGGTCTCCAAGACGACGCTCACCCTGCCCTGTCTTTCTTGCAGACGCCACGGCGGGGCGCCCGGCCCCCTGAGCGAGTCACCCACCTAGAGCCAGAGGCTGCCGGCATCTTGGCTCGCTCAGCGCTTACCCCGAGGGCTGGGACACTGGCCTGGCCTGAGCAGTCAAGCCCTCGTCCAGGTTCGGCGGCTCGCTCTCCTGGGCCACATCAGACGCAGCGCCGAAGCAAAGAGAGGACCCGGTATAGCTGCAAGACGCCGAGGGGACGTCGCGGGCTGTCCGCGCGCCCTGCTGACCTCCCGGGCCAGCTCTGCTGGAGCAGCCGACAGCTCCCCTCCCCTCTCCATCCCGGCTGGCTGGGCCGGGCAGACCTCTGCAAGCGCAGGACACTCCGCGGTAAATGGCTGCAGCTGGGGACCTGGCTAATTGATACAATAAGTTCTGTAATTGTTTCTAAAGTAAGGTAATGATTTGGCAGAGGGAATGCTTTGATCTTATCAGCCAAGAGAGATCTCTTGAAAAGAAACTTCAGACAAGCACTGGGGGCCTCCACTTTGCAGTGTGAAGGCCAGGGATAGCCTTGGCCCCAATCCACCCCCTCCCCAGGTCCTCTGTCTGGCCTGACACTTTGGGCTTTTCAAGAAGGGATGGAAAGGCCTTTCTCCTACCTAGGAAGACTGGAGCCTGTGCATACACACATAGACCCCGGGATATGTGTGGAGGGCTGAGTTCTGGGCTCTTCCCAAACCCAGGGATGGCTGCAAGACTAGTTCGGTTCTAGAAGAGGCTGTAGAGAAAGAGATGGGACTGCAGGTAGGGTCAGATTTTGAAATACCTGACTTGGCTCCATCCCAATGACATTTCTCACACAGTGAGGGCTGCTGATTTGAGTTTTTCAGGCTACAGAGGGTAACAGGGAAGACAACCTTGAGGGTCCCCCCTTCTCCAAGAAACTGCACACACATTAGCACACATACCCTCATTCTGCACTGTGGGTGTCCCCGCCTGGCAGAGGCCCCAGCACAAAGAGGATTAGAGAGATGAGCTAATCTGGTTTGTATCCCAGACATGGCCCCAGAAAGGGACTTTGTCTACCCTTATATTTAAGGGGATGAAGGAGTGAGAAGTCCTTTGAGGGCCTGCTGGCTGACAGTGTGTGAGAGACCCCTATCTCACTGGAGTTCCTAGGATACTAGAATCCTGACTTCAGGGTCAAATTTAGGGAGCAGAAATAGGGCACACGTGTAAATACCGAATAGTTTCTCTGGTGTGAGAAACTGAAAGCGTAAATAAGGATTAAAAGGTATAATAGATAATGTGAAATAGGAAGAAAAGGGGCAAAGGGGAAGGGGAAGTGGGAGGGGTAGGGGAAAGGAAAGAAGGGAATGGAATTAATATGAGAAAAGGAAAAAATGGAAACAAAGTCTTTGTAAATAGAAAGGGGTAGAGGGGTTGAAGGGAGGGCAGGGGAATGGGGAAAAAATAAGAACCAAGAGAGATTACATAAAGGTGCAAATTTCCAATGATGCATGTCATTAGATTGTATACCTAAAATGTACCAATAAAATTAATTTTAAAATATTTTTTTAAATTTAGGGAGCAGAGAAATAGGGGCCGTGGGGAACAACAGGGTGGGCTGTGCTCTGTGACATGAGATAGGGCCAGGGATTTGGCTCAGTGGCACCCGGCCTGCCTCGAAATCACAAGGTCCTGAGTTCGACCCCCAGTACCAAAAAAAAAGAAGGAAGAAAGAAATGAGAGATAAAGACAGAAGCTCTGACAGAGGGAACTAGATCTCCACCCTACTTGTTCAGAGAGGTAGGATTGGAGACAAGGAAATCATGTCAAAACTGTACTTTCAAGAAGACTGCAACTTCCAGACCTAGTCAGAGTTACCTGGGCAATCCATATCTGCATTCCCTGGGTTAAATTTAGGCTCCTTTCCTTCCAGATCCACCATACCCAAAATTCCTCAGTAATACTGTTGGTCTATAAATTTTTTTTTTTTTGGTACCAGTGATCGAATTTGGGACCTTGTACCTACAAGGCAGGTGGCAGAACCACTGAGCTAAATTCCCAGCCCTGTTGGTCTATAAATTAACTGAATTGAGAAAGTGAAGAACAGGGACATGATCCAAAAATAAAGGAACAGGCTGAAAAACTCCAAAGAATGTTTAAATTACGTATCTTAAAAACAAATTTAGGGCTGGGGATTTAGCTCAGTGGTTTTGCCTCCTGCTACACAAGCACAAGGACACAAGTTCAATCCCTGGTACCAAAAAAAAAATTTTTTTTAAGTTGGGCCCATTCCTGTGAAATGGGCTAGTCCCCTTCTGAGAGGTGGGCCACCTTTTCCCTAGATTTCCATTCTCTCAAGAGAAGCAGAAATGATCCCAGGTCCAGAAAATAAGTGTCTCTGTCTTGAGGACCCATGCTCTATTTCTTTGAGCGTGGACCTTTTAATTTCTTAAAATTCCTGTGCCTCTTACTGACTAGTCCTGAAAATTGTTTTTCCATGATGGAAGTCAGCGAACTTGGAAACTTATCCCATGGGTAGTGTGGGTTAGGGTCCTTATCTCAGCTTTGGGAAACTCTTCAGACTTTGTCCAGTGACAGTTCCACTACTGGGGAAACTGAGGCCTGGAGTGGGAAAGTGACTTAGTCATGCAAATAGTGCATGGCTGAATTAAAGGGGGAAAGGTTTTTTTCTGGTCCCGTGCATATTGCAGGAGCTGCAAAGGAAAGGTGTGAAACAGAGAGGGGAAAAAAAAAAGACAAACAAATCACGCACCACAAAAAATACAGAGAGGCAGGCAGGCACATACACAGAGACTGAGGAAGAGTCACAAAGAGTAAAAAGACAGAGATAAGGAGAGTGGAGCAAGACCAACCGCTGTATCCAGAAAGACGGGCGGAAGCAGAGAGAGATGCTGAGAGGCAGGGAGTGACACAGATGAACAGACAGAAATAGAGAGACAGGGTTCAGGCAGAGAGGAGAAGACAGACTTTCAGATGGGGCGGCGGCGGGGGGCGGTGTAGACACAGAGAGACAAACTCAGAGAGGAACAGACACAGAATGACAGAAAAGCCAAGAGACTCAGAGATGAAGCCCCAGAGACAAGCGATGGGGAGAGCTTGAGGACAAGAGGGACAGTGCGTTGAGGAGGGCAGAGTGGCAGGGAGAGAGTGGGCTCTGCAGATTTTTGCCCATATGAAGTAAATCAGACTTCCAGATCATTCTGGGGCCCAGAACAGGTGGTAGGGAAAGAAAGAGAGCTCAACAGGGAGTCTATCTGATACAGGCAGATTAGAAAAAGAGGCCTGGGGGCAAAACGGGAACTCTTCCTTGGGGAGAGGCTGGTCAGTGACCACCCAGGATCTAGCACACCCACTGGCCTCACACAGAACCTGGGCCACCCGCCCAGGATGGCCGTCAGCCCGCCTGGCTCCAGTTTGATTACAGCCAAAGTGCCAAAAGGCTCCAGAACCCCCCAATGCTCCGCCTCCATCCCCGCCTCCCCAGGCCTCATCTCCTCCTTCCCTGTCTCCTTAAATCCCTCTGCTGGTCCCCTGGAGAGTGGTTTGCCCTGTTTAGCCACTAGCTGGGAAGAAAAGGGTGCTGCCCCACCAAGCCCCCTTCCTGGATTTGGGGCTGGATTCTCCTTCCCTCCAGTCTGTTTGGCCTGGCCTCTTTGAGACACGTTCCACCTCTCGCCTGGGAGCTCATAAATACCAAGGAGAGGCCAGCCAAGCTGTGTACAAAGCATGATCTCCACGCCACCCCCCCCACACACACAAAAGCCCCTGGGGTGCCTTCTAAGATCCCTTCTTTTCCCCAGACACCTGCATGGTGCAGCATGGCAGGAGCTACTAGGGGCCTGGATGAACCTGGCCCCAATTCAAGTGAGATTTGCCTTGGTTTGCAAAGCAGTCTCAGGAAAGGCGTCTCAGGGCCCTTTGTGCAAGTAGCAGGCTCAGGAATTCCTTGACTCCTATCCAACCCACCCCCCCAGCCCCTTCTTGGCCTTTCTCTCTGCTCATTACCATCCACACCACCTCCCACCCACCGGGAAAGAGAAGGTCATCGCCAAAGGGGCCCAAGGAAGGGGGAGCATTTTGGAAGATAGACCAGGGTGGAATAAGAGCTGTTTACCCACACCCAAGCTCCCTTTAGCTCATCTCCACTCCCATCCAAGGGCCAGAAAAAATTCAAAGTCATTCAGCCACACAGCTGAGAAAGGAGTGAAAGATGAATCCTAACTCTAAGTAGCCTCACTGGGGAGCAGGGCATGAGGTGAGGTATGGAGGGTGAGATGGGACCCTTCCCCTTTCGGAACCCACTTTTGAAAGGGCGGGAGACTTGGAACACACCTGTAGTCCCAGCTGTTTGGGAGGCTGAGGCAGGAGATTGCAGGTTGCAGGCCAGTCTGGGCAGCTCAGAGAGACCTTGTCTCAGAGTGAAAACTGGAGGGCTGGTGGTGTAGATCAGTGGTACAGCACCCCTGGGTTTACTTCCCAATACTCTAAAAAAAAGAAGAGGAGGGCCGGAGATTTACCTCAATGGTGCCACTGCCTGCCTCGAAATCAGAAGGTCCTGAGTTCCATCCCTGTACAAAAAAAAAAAAAAAAAAAAATCATAGCAAGCAATAATGACCAGCGAGGCTTGTTCTATAGCCCAGGCAAGTGACGTTGATAACTTAAGCAGAATGGCCTTTGAGCGGGTTGGCTTGTAGAAATAGGCAGTTTACTTCATGGACTTCAAAAAAAAAAAAAAAAAAAAAGGAAGAGAGAGAAAGCAGGAAGCTGTGGTGCCACCACAAGGAGGAGGGCAGATGAAGCTCTGCTGGCTGTCTGCTGGAGGTCCTAGGGAAGCTGGCACACACGGCTGGTGTGGGAGGGTGTCCTTCCTTAGGTCTCTGCTGCTACTGCTACTATACATCTGCAATCTGCAGCACACAGCCTTGAACTCCCACAGAGCCTCACATGCTACTGTCAGGCAGCTTTACTGTACTGTAGTTGCATGAAAATATCCGGGGAATGAGGCCTTTTCCTCCTTCTGTGTAATTCAGGATGCCCTAGCCAGTGGTGGGCATGGAGCAGGTACTTAATAAGTGCTGGCCTGTCTCCTTGCAGGGCTCTCTAAAACAGTACTTGACTCTCAAATCACCCCCCATCCCAGGGTTCCCTTAACCCAGAATGCAGGAGTGGGATAAGCTGGAGCAGTCAGGGGCTAGTCTGAGCCTCCTGCCGTGACCCTCTGCCTGAAAGCCCCGTAACAGGCCCTTGCGTGAGGAGCTGAGCTTTCCAATAGTGTCTAGGGCCTAGGGACTGGAAGTTTATTTTGAGACTTGAAACTCCAAAGTGGCAGATCCCAGAAAACCTCTTCTCTGGCTCCGAATTTGTCCTCTAGTTAAGTGGCTGAGTGCAGCTCTTGCAGTCAGCTGGCTCCTGCAGCTTGGGGTTCCTCCTGGGGATCTGGAGACTGGGGGAGGGGGAAAGGAGGGGAGGAACAAAGCTTCGTCCTGAGTTGCCCACTCCAGCGCAGAGGTGGCCTGTACACCCTGGGAGAAGTCTTGTCCCCTCATCTATTTCCCTCCCTCCTAGAGATGTTTCTTGGGGGTCATCTCAGCTCAAAAACACACTTGCATAATTGAGCCAAAACACGGTCCTACTTAACTATGAAGATAGCTGAAGCCAAAGAAGGGGCCTCAGAAGTGGGTTTGGGGCCCATATGTAGAAACAAACACAGGGCCAGAGTCACACCCAGGTCTGAAGGCACAGGGGCCTCTGGGAGCAGCGCTGAAGCTGGAAGACTGCTATCCTGCAAAGGGGTGGGCTGGGCTGGAAGGAGGTAAAAGAAGGGTTCAAGGAAAGGGGCCCTGGGCTCACTCCTCTCCCACCTGCCCCTCTCAGGGAAACTTAATAGAATCTCTGCCGTTCTAAGGACAAAGCAGGCCAACCAGAGCCTAGGCTGAAGGAAAGAAAGGAGGGGAAAAGAGTCAGCTAGTGGCCCTCAAGGGACATGGTCCTAGTTCCTGTGGCCAGCATGCTGGCCCCACATGGTCTCCCACTCCCTTCCAACTCCACTCCAGCCCCATTTCCCCCGCGGTGGCAGCGGGCACCTTCTCCCCTCCATTACCTGTCTGAACTCCTCTCCTTCTCCCTAGCTCCTCTGCTGCAGGGCTGACCTTTGCTACCCATGTCCCAACCCCCTCCTATTTTAGGCCGTCCTACTCCTTAATTCCCATTGGGATGCTCTTTGCTAGAATCTGCCCACTTGTTTCCTCACACCCAGTCGTCTTTGATTGGATCTCACTGGTAAGTCACCTACCCTGATCTCCTTTGTTACAAGTGCGGCCCATCCCCTTACCCTGTTCTATTTTTCCCACTGTACCAACCACTTTCTAATATATTGTATGTTTATTGTCTATCACCCCCCAGTAAACCGTAAACTCCATGAGGGCAGAAATTTGCTTTGTTTACTGATGCACAACCAATGCCTAGCACAGTTCTATCACATGACAGGGAATAAGCAAATAGCTGTGGAACTGATGAATGTGCTCAGACTTACCACGGAAAGGAGGACCAAAGGAGTGAGGAGGAGTAAAGGTCCCTCTGAACCCTTTCCCCCCATCTCCGTCTCTGAGGTGACTGCAGCCAGATGTGCCCTGTGGATCACACTCGGCTTCCCTAATCCCCCCCCCCCCCCAAGGACTGATACCGAGTTTAGGGTTAAGGGAGATGGGCGAACACCAGCATGTTATTTACACCAGGACTTTAATGTTTTGGTGTTTTGTTTTGTTTTAGGGACTGAACCCAGGGCCTTCACACTGAATGACTACATCCCCAGCTTTTTTTTTTTGATCCCTGGGATCGAGGATCGAACTCAGGACTCTGTGCTTGCGAAGCAGGCAGCAGAACCACTGAGCTCATTTTTATTAAAAACAAATGTTTTTGTGTGTGTGAGGCAGAGAGGGTCTTACTCAAACTGGCCTCAAAATCCTGCTGATACTCCTGCCTTAGCCTCCCGAGTGCTAAAATTAACAGGTGTGGGCCACCACGCTGGCTTCAGGACTTTACAGTTTAGCTTAGTCTCCAGTAGAAGCATGAAAGACACCTGGGAATGAGGGGCTAGGCGGGAGAAACAGAAACCAAGGCTGAAGAAGGGGTTAGGGCCACACAACGAGATTAAACTCTCAAGTTAGAGGGCCCAGAACCAGACCTTTAAAAACACCTTTGTGAAAAATTTTTTTTAAAAAACCAAAAAACCCCACAACTTTGTGGTCTCAGTAAAGACCATTCTGTCCCCAGGGGCTCTACCTGCTATCCTGAGAAGTGGGGGATGGGGGTGGGGTGGTGAATTGGGAGGAGAGGAGAGGGAGTCACTTTGAGCAGACAGCACTTCCCACCCCTTCCCGACTTACCACGCCCTCAGCGGACTGCGGGGCTGGGTGGGGGGCAGCGGAGAGCAGGAAGGGTGGAAAGGCGCGTCGGAGAGAAAATGCTCCATCCAGGGCTTCCACTCTTTCAGCAGGACTCCCACCCTGGGCTCTGGTGCGGGAAAATCGTCCAGCTGTTTCTGATTCTTAGCTACTCGCAGCCCCGCCCGAGGGGTGGGGGACTGAGATCCAGGGGAGCCGGAGAGACCCGGCTCTGCCGAGCCCTGCTGGAAGGGACCGGGGTCCGCGTCCGGTCCGCAGGTGTGCCGCCTCCCACTCGGCCTTCGACTCTGGTCCCTAAGCTGGGAAAGCACCTGGGCGCGGGGCAGGTGGGTGGTAGAAGCTAGCTCTAAATGTGAGGAAAGGAGGTTGGTAGGGTCCGAAGAAGCAGAGGCGATGATCCCTAGACGAGAGAATCCTCTACTTGAAGCCGGCTGCCCACGGTGCCACTGTAGGCAGCGTAGAAAAGGGAGTTAAGACTCTCCCACAACTCCGGGTGGCAGTTTCTACCCATTTCACGGAAGGGCAAGCGAGGAAAGGACCCCCGAGGGAATGAGTGCGCCTTCGGCGTCGCCGTAGGTTAGGGGACAGGGGGAAGTGCCTGCAGCCCCCTCCCACTGCATGCTCCCTGCCATAAACCACAGCCCCGGAGTCCAAATGAAGGGCGCTAGGACCCGGAGGTGCGGCATCGGTAGGGACTGGGCGCTACCGGCTCAGCTGGGCCCCGTCGCGTCGCGCCAGAGCAGGTGGGGGTGCGGCACGGAGCGCCCCGGGCTGGCGCGGGCGGAGCCGCTCTGAAGGCCGCGCGTGTCCCGGGCCTCGGCCCCGCCCCGCGCCGTCCAATGAGAGCCCACGACCGGAGGGGCTGTCCGCACAGTCGGCCCCGCGGCTCCACTCCGCGCCTCGGAGCCCCTGACACGGCACCTCGTGCTGTGCCGGGGCCGCGCACCCCAGACCCCCAGCAGGGCGCGCCGTCGTCGGTTTCTGGACGCCGCGACTCGCGCCCTCTTCAGGACCCCGTGCCCCGCTCCTGGACTCCACGTGACCCTAAGTCCGCAGCCACCAGGGAACCCCATGGCCATCCCGAGGGGCGAGGTAGGAGCAGCCTGAGAAACCCTAGACGGTGCCCCGTCCACGCCCCTCCGGGCTGCGCTGCAGACGTCTTCGAGGAGCTATGCTGAGTCCGGGGTGTGCTGAGGAAGCTGCGCAGCTCGCCCCTCGGCGCGCCCGCGCCCCCGCCCCTGTCCCCGCGCCCCGACCCGCCCCCGACGTCTCCCCGGCTTCGGCCCGCCTTGGTATTGCCTGTCTTCTGCTGCTGCTGACGCTGCCGGCCCGCGTAGACACGTCCTGGTGGTGAGTGTGGTCCTGAGGGCTGGGTGGGCAAGCTGTAGGGCTGTGGAGGCTGGCTGCGCCCGTGGAGAATACAGCTCCTGGCAAGGGCTGCTCAGGGGACCAAGTTGCGGCTCGGACAGTTAGAGACGATCCCGCACGACTGCCACTGAGGTCGCTGAGTGACTGGTGAGGGAACGGGGGTAGATGAAACGTCGCATCTCGCCGGCCTGGTGAGGACGTGTGGAGCAAGGAGGCCCTGTAGTTGAGGGTCCGTGGGCCTAGATGCTGTGCCCCCCTACTTCAGCTTAGGCCCCTTGGGACAGAAGCTGCCTTTCTATTTTTTCTCAGGGTGGCTTCAAGGACCAGCCGCCTTTCCCGGCCTACGGTGGCAGTTCTGCAGGGCCCTCAATCGCCTAAGGTCTCCCTTGCAAAGGTGGAGAAGGGGGAGCTGGCAAGAACAGACAAGCCTCTCCTAGTCTCCTCACACGGCACGCAGGGGGCTTTGGTGAAGCAGCAGCACCCAGCGCGGGGTTTAGACATGAACTACAGGCAAAAGCTACTCTATTATTCCTACAATTAAAACAAAACCTTGGGTTTGCATTATCTGGGCATTTTTCTTCAGCCTCGGTTTTGAGGATGTCACTTGGAAGCTTGACGTTTCCCTCCCCTCCTGTTTCTCTTCCCCAGATGACCCTCCTCACATCTCTCCCCTCTATGGGTCAGAGACTTCTGGAGTCCCAAAGTATTAAGCCACCCTGTCCTCGCATCTCTCTCAGGCCTTAGACTCCAGACACTTCACAAGAAGCCAGACAGCAAGAGGCATTAAAAATCCACAGGATATCTGTAGTTTGTTATTCACAGAATTCCCCCACCCCCACGTGCTCCCCAGCCCTGGGTGGTACTCACTCTTTTCTCTCAGGAAGGAGCTGCTCTCTCTCCTCCCCAACGGGGGTGGGGGGTGGGGGCAAAGGGGAAAAGTGGGCCCGAGAAAAGATTCAGTCTTCTCAGCTTTCCATGTCACATCCCCAAACTGCCCTCTTGGACTACTAGGCTAGTGCCCTTCTCTACCATGTACTGCCTCCCTCCTTTCCTTACTCTGCTCCTCCTCCCTTGCAACCAACACACCCCCGCCGCCTTGCCGCCTCGAAGTGTGGTCTCTTCTCCTCTTGCACCCTGTGGCTTTTCCCCTCTTGACTTGGAATCCTGGCTGAAAGGGTGAGGGGTAGCTGGCTGAGGGGCCAGTCAGCTTGGACTGCAGATTCCTATCATTTCAAGATGCGTCCCTCTCTATTCCCATCCCCCACCCCCGTTTCCCTGTTGAAAAATCTCTCTTTTGGATCTTTTTTATCTCTGCAGTATTGGGGAAGTCAAGGAGGGGGGTTCTGGATGGGGGAGCGAGCTGGCCTATATCTTACATCTGGCTTGAAACATTCCTTTAGAAAGGGAAAGGGAAAGGGAAGAAGGGAGGCAGGAGAAAAAGCTTTTCCACGTTCATAGTGAGATCAAAACCACCCTTTACTTTCAGGGCCCAGTTTGGCTGGGGACTTAAATTTTTAGGGTTCCTGTCGACAAGACATTATCTCGATGGCCCAGATGGCAATTTGCTTTTAGGGACTCTTGACTGACTCTTACCAATTTGGGAGGCAGTCTTTGGGACCAATTGGTGTTTAGATGAGGAAATGCGACTTTGACAATTTCAGGAACCTAAAGACCCAAATGAGTTCTTCCTAGTCCCTATTATTTTTAAATCTTTGACTACTCTCTCCCTTTTTCTTTCTCCCTCTACTACCTTACCCCCATGTGGTTCAAATTAAAAATGTTGGAAAAATTCCTAGATGGAAGAGCTCTGAAGGGAGGTGGGTGACACACAGAGAGACTTAGCAGTTCCTGTGAAGTGTAGGAAGCAGCAACAGGGCCAATATGGGGGGGCGGTGCAGAGATTGTCTCTGTCTCCTTGATTTCATAGCAGCAGGCCCAGATGCCTGCCTCCATGGTCACTACATGGTCACTACTTCTAGAATAAGGTGGAAAGCTGACTTCTGAAGGCAGGTCAGGTGTCCAAGGTGATATCTGTTTCTCTTAAGAAAAACCAGCAAGACTGCTACTCTGCACAATTCCTGACCATTGTGTGTCTGTTCCACTATGGAGCAGAGGCTGTCACTGCTACCAGCTAACTCTGTTCTTCCTCATGGCCCAACATCCTTCCTCGTTCTCTCCACCCACTTTCTCCCTCTCTCTACTTTTATCTAGTAGAGGAAATGTATGGTCTCCTTTTAGGTCCTGTGACAGACAGTAAGAACTAGGGGAGTTCTGTCATGTGCTTCCCTGTTCCATTTTTCAGGGGGTTGGATATAGGGAAATCACAAGACCAAGACTGTGTTCATGGGCTCACAAAGGAGGAGAAACACAGAGTGGTATCATATTAGCATTACTGTTGCCAAGAACAGCTGCTGTTTAATGAGCCCTTACTAAGCTTCAGGTACTATGGACAAGCACCTTATAATCTTCTTTATAAACTTCTTTAATCCCTGGTAATCCAGTGAGGTAGGTACTATTATTATCCTTACTTTTCAAATGAACAAAGTGAGGGATAGGAGAGGAGCAGTAAAAACCTTGCCAAAGTTCACACCAATTTTGGAGCTAAATTTGTCTACTCCTATGAAAATATTGTGTGCTTCTCTTGCCTTTGGAATCAAAATGAACCTGGACTTTACAGTCAGGTGGCCTTCATTCTTCCTCATTCTCCTCTCACTAGGCCTGATGGACAGAGCAGATACTCTCAATATCCTTGAACTTCTCCTTCCCTCCCTCCTTTCCTCTATTTTAATGCAGAAAATGTTTTGTGAATTGTAAAGTCCTATACAAGTGCTGTGGAATAAAGGAGAGATTTCAGGTAGCTAATAGTTTTATTCCTGTGTTCAAAGTCCTATATGTAATGGGCTGAACCACAAATACTAGTAGGGGATGTACACAAAAGGAGCGGACATAAAAAGAGTGTCTCTGGCCTTATTAAAAGGATGCAAACACAAAATACCTACAAATAGACTGGTGATGTTGACAAGAAGTAAAACTATGACTAAAATGAAGTTTATGGCTGGCAAGGGGAGATGGAAACTTAAATCAGAGCAGTTAGGTGTTTATTCAACAAACAGTTATTGAGTACCTACTGCATGCCAGATAAGTTCTCAGTATTGGGTATATTTAAGTGCACAAAAGAAACAAAGGACTGGGATATGTCTCAGTGGCAGAGTAGTTGCCTAGGATGTGTGAAGTTCTGGGTTTGATCCCCAGCACCACATACACCCAAGAGAAAAACAGACAAAAATGTCTGCCTTGTTCCAGGTGTAGTGGTACACACCTGTAGTCCCAGCTGCTTGGGAGGGTGAGGCAGGAGAATCAGAAGTTCAAGGCCAGCCTGGACAACTTAGTGAGATCCTGTCTCAGAATAAAATTTAGAAAAGCCTGGGGGTATAGCAGTGGTAGAGTACTTGTCCAGCATGTGGGACCCCCTGGGTTTGACCCCAGTATAGGAAAAAAAAAATCCATCTTCATGGAGCAGTGCATCCAAATCAGGTTGGAATCTTGTTGAAATCCAGATTCTGACTTGGTGGGCTGTGTGGGGTGTAAGGATCTACGTTTTAGCAAATCCCCAGGTGAGGCAGACATTATTGCTTTACAACTATACTTTGAGTAGCAAGGGGGTAGAGTAGGGTATAAGTTACTCTATCAAAAGAAGAAATATGAATTTGTTAAAATCAGGTGAAGAGAGATCATTCCAGCAGGAAGATGGAAAGGAAGAGAACTAACTTCTGGAAAGGAAAGCAAATCTAGAGAGTTGGACATCTGGTATCCTCTCCCAGACCAGGAGCTGGGGGATTTAAACATCTTTGTACCCCTAACAGCTGAGCTCAGTACTTGGCATTTGGTAGGCATTTTGCAAGCATGCATTGAACAGAGAGGAAGATGGGCTCAGGCTGGGGCTCAGGCTGAGGCTCAGCAGCATTATTTGAGACCCTATGACTGACTACAGGGAGCCAACTCCTGCACAGCAGGCAGGCTCCATGTTCGGCAGAGTCTTGAAGCAGTTACTTATTGGGGTAAGCATGGTAGTGGAAAAAATTATCTTCCCATCTCAGATACTGAACAGATGTTCCCACGCTCATTGAGGATGTAACAAGGAGGACCAATGTGGGCTGTAGCAGAATGGATTTAAGTCAGACCACAGGAAGGCCTTTTTTGCCAGTTTGGCCTGCCCAACTCCAGACTGTCTCATGAGGGCTAGGTTATTGGTCTCCCATTCCCATCCAGCCCCCCTCCTCCCAAGCCCCAGTAAAAAAAACAAACACCCATTGCCTAGAGCAGTACTCTGGGGCTGAACTGGGGAAGCGGAATGGTGGTGGTGAGCCGGGGACAAGGTCCAACTCCAACGGTCTTGATTCTCCAAACAAAGCACCAAGGCAGTGGGTGTAACTCCTGACTGTGCGTCAGGCAGCCCTTTCCGGCCTGGCCTAGCCTCGGTGTTTATTTTGTTTGTTCCTGGAAGCTGCTGCTCTGATGGACAGCACTGGGGACACTGATTCTATGGGATTTGTTAGTGGAGGCCAGCCCTCTCACCCCTCCCTCGGGACAGATGGGGCCCATCAGCCCTGCTGAGTTCCCGAAGAGGCAAGCATCAGCCCTCCTTGTGTTTGTTTGAGTTGGTGTCACCAGTGGTGATCCAGTCTGTGGGTGAGGGCTGGCTGTGGGAATGCACAGGGGGAGGGAACACAGGGCCCAGGGCAGTTTAGCCTTTCCCTTCCCCCACCGGCTGCCCTCCTTTCTCCTCACCCCCTTCTAGGTCCATTTTGGGGCTGTTTCCAAACCACTCGCTCATTCATAGCTCAGACCACAGCTTTTCTGACTGTAGCAGCAACTGCTCTTCTCAGCCCCAACCTGTTCTGCAAAGGGGAGGGGGCATCCCGTTGATGTGTTTTGGATGAGAAAATAAAGTATCCCCAGCAAATCAGGGAAGGCTGGAGAGATAGAAAGGACTGAGAGGCAGAGCTGGGCTGTTCAGCTGAAGAGTGTAGGTGAATGGTTTGATCTCTTTTGGTTGCCTAGTGGGGAGAAAGGGTGATATACGTTCCTGTTTTCTCTCCAAAACACTCTTCTGAGGCTTGAGGGGGACATAGGCCTAAGAGTGTTTCAAAGATGAGAAAATATTGCTTTGAGAAAATTGAGAATGACTCTAGCAACCCATTTATACTTTAATAGCCGTGTATCAATTGATCTTGTAATTATTCATATTGGGCAGACTAGGGACTACAGTACTTTATCTTGGCCTTTGGTTTACCATTGCAGACACTCCTCTGTCCATGTAGATCCATCCAGGACATTGTCCCTTATAGGCTGGGTGAACAGATTTTAAAAGCTTCATTTGTTAGAAAGGCTCTGGGACCTGGAAATAAAGGGAATGGGGAGAAGAGCTAGGATGGGGTCTGCCTCACCAGACCTCAGGATTGGGAATGAAAAATTTTTATCTATACAAGTCTCACTAGAGTTGTAAATATTATTCACAATTGTCCACTATGTCTCTTCCTGGCAGCCCCTTCCCTGTCTCCATCTTTCTGCTGAAAAATCATGTCTTTTGAGGACCAGCCACTCAGGACATGCTCTTACATGTGGGTGTAAGAGTGTTGGCTCAGACCCTCATTTTGTTAGTTTATTTTTCTGTGAAGATCTTAATGTTTCTTAAACAAACAGGCAATGGGTTTGTGTGATATGCCCACAGCTTCTGTGTATATGACACAGGCCTGGCCTGTGTTCTGGGAGTGTGTGTCACTTTGGCCTTTGGCTGAGGAACTAGTAATGTTGGGAGACCACTCAATTACTCTTTCTGCAACTGTAACTATTTCTCCAGAGCTTGTGGGGAATGGTTCTACCAATCAGCCTCAGGGAATGTGAGATGGGGAAAGGGAAGAAATCTTTCTGGGCTTTAGATACCAAACAGTCCCCTAACCCTACCCCACCTCCCCCTGTGCAGAAATAAAGGGGCTGAGGTGCTCTGACAGGACCATCTCCACCTTGCAGGTACATCGGGGCACTAGGGGCCCGAGTGATCTGTGACAATATTCCTGGTTTGGTGAGCCGGCAGCGGCAGCTGTGCCAGCGTTACCCAGATATTATGCGCTCGGTGGGTGAAGGCGCCCGAGAATGGATCCGAGAGTGTCAGCACCAGTTCCGCCATCACCGCTGGAACTGCACCACGCTGGACCGGGACCACACTGTCTTTGGCCGTGTTATGCTCAGAAGTAGGGGCTCCTTCTCTTCTTTCCCAGCTGTTTCCCTTTCTATGCTTGGGTGTGAAGTGGGAAGGTCAGGCACGATCCCCTGTCCCCTCTACTTCATAACCAGAGAAATGATTGTGGGCAGAGCTCAGAATACAGTTGAGAACTGATCCTCAGTATCTCAGATTTGTAAGCAGGGATCCCTCTAAATCCCAGTACTTTGGGGTGATGGGATAAAGGTAAAGCATTCCCTACTACCTCCATCATCCTCCCTCATTTTCTCTGCCTTTCCCCTTCCCTAACAAATGGGCTTCCATGCACTGTAAAGCTGAGAACTAGGAATAGCTTCTCTAATTCTTACCACCACCATCACTACCATCACCCTAACACTCCCAACACTACAGTAATGGGAACAAGAGATAAACAGAAAGGTGATATGTAAATATTTGGAGAGTCAATGGCTTGGTCCCAGCTCAGCAAAAAAGCTAAGCAGAGTGAGACAGTAAACTAGGAGAAGGGGAATGAGATGGGAATCTGGAGGTGTCAGGGGTATAAGGGTGATGATTAATCAGTTCCTAAGAGCAGAGAAGAAGGAGAATAGGAAGGGAAAGGTAGCCTGTTTCTCCCTGGGCTAGGGTCTGCATTGTAGGGGAACTGTCCAGCAAAGTGGGCCTGAAAAGTCTGGAATGTGGCCTAAAACAGGCTTAGCTGCACCAGCGTGGGCACTGTGGGAGAGGATGATTCAACATGAGACTTTCCAATGGAATGACCCAAGGCGTGAAGGAAACAAGAGGTCAGATATACAAAGAAGTGAACAAAGAACAGTTGAGGGCTGACAGAAGAGGTCAGATACTCTAGGGCAGTGATGGCAAACCTTTTAAAGCTTTCAGTGATACAAACAGCCTGCTGTAGCACGCATGCCATAGGTTCACCACCACTGCATAAGGGAGTGCTCTTGGAAGGGAAGGGAACCTTGAATAAAGGGTGAGTAGGAGGGGGTGGCTCTGGGAAAGAAGAGGAGAGGAGGAGAGGTTTCCGAGGCTGTGTGAGTTGAAGAAGAGGACAGATATGGGCTTCTTTCCTGAAATACACCTCTGCCTTTCTCTTTCTAGGTAGCCGGGAGGCAGCATTTGTATATGCCATTTCATCAGCAGGGGTAGTCCATGCTATCACTCGTGCCTGTAGTCAGGGTGAACTGAGTGTGTGTAGCTGTGACCCCTATACTCGTGGTCGACACCATGACCAACGTGGGGACTTTGACTGGGGCGGCTGCAGTGACAACATCCACTATGGTGTCCGCTTTGCCAAGGCTTTTGTGGATGCCAAGGAGAAGAGGCTTAAGGATGCCCGGGCCCTCATGAACTTACATAACAACCGCTGTGGTCGCACGGTCAGTACTCATGTCTGTGTATGTACGTTCATATTTGCTGGGGGTAACAGTTTGTGTTACTAAATGTGAAGATGGAAGAACTGAAGACTTCTAGATCACTTTCAAAAGCCCCAACATCCTGCAACAGTAGCACTAAAAAGTAGGAAGAGAAGATAAGTCACTTTTTTTGTGGTGCTGGGGATCAAACGCAGGGCTTCATGCATAGCAGGCAAGTGCTCTACCACTGAGCATATCTCTAGGCAGAAGTGACTGTTTAAAGATGAAAAAAAACTATCTATTCACTGGTATTTGAACTTTCCTATATACTGTGCTAGAAAATGACAGACTACAGAGGCAGAATGCGTGATACTTGGTACCCTAAAACATGTGAGAACTAAAAGATATGTAAACACATTGTATTCATAAACAGAATCCTATGACTTTACAATCCCAACAGGCTGTCAAGACAAAGAAAGCACTGTTGGTTCAGGAAGATTTCATAGAACAGGACTTACTCTCTGCCCGCCCCCATGTCTCTCTCTCAGCTGTATTGGGGATTGAACCTAAGTCCTCACCAATATTAGGCAAGTGCTGTACCAGTGAGCTACACCCTAGCCCGCACTCCCTTTGAGACACTATTTCGCTGACTTACCAGGCTGGCTTTGAACTTGTGATCCTTTTGTCTGAATCTCCAGAATAGCTGAGATTTACTGGCATGTGCAGAGTGCCAGGCTTAAAAGAGAAGTTTCTTTTTGTGTGTTTCTTTTTTTTGAAACAGGGTCCTACTATGTAGCTGCTGAGTACTGGGATTATAAGCATGTGGCACTGCACCTGGATAAGACAAGTTTCTTTACTTGATCAGGAAGAATGGGCAGGATCTGGTAGAACCACGAAGGGCTCAACCAGCTGGCCCTGGGCAACAGATCTCAGAGCACTCATGCTTTGGCCCTAAGATGACTAAGAAGTTCCTGACCAGTACCTGTTCCTTACCTGCCTCCTCCTTCCCCCAGGCTGTACGGCGATTTCTGAAGCTGGAGTGTAAGTGCCATGGCGTGAGTGGCTCCTGTACTCTACGTACCTGCTGGCGTGCACTTTCAGACTTCCGCCGCACAGGAGATTACCTGCGGCGACGCTACGATGGGGCTGTGCAGGTGACAGCCACCCAAGATGGTGCCAACTTCACAGCAGCCCGCCAAGGCTATCGCCGTGCCACTCGTACTGATCTTGTCTACTTTGATAACTCCCCAGACTACTGTGTCTTGGACAAGGCTGCAGGTAAGTAAGAGAAGCAGGTGAAGGTAAAGAGCCCAGCTTCTTACCACTGGCAAATCACAATCTGTTCAGCTGGAGGAGTTAGGGAAAGGGGTGCTGTGGGAGGAGTCATTTTCCTCCCCACAGGAAAACTTGGGCACAAGGTTGGTGACTTATGGCTCAGTCTACCAGGCCCAGTGCTGTCTAGCTGGAGAGGAGGTTACTCAGGTCCTTGAGGCCTGAAGTCACTCCTTTGTATTTCCAGCACCTGAGGTACAGTAGGCAATACTTACAGGATAGTAAAATGAACTACCTGGTTTGGGGTTTCAACCAATGCTGAGAGCTATACAAAAACATAAAATGCAGCACTAAGCCTTTGGTTCTTTACAGTCTAGCTAAAGAAATGAAATTGGGGCTAGAGATGTAGCTTAGTGATAGAGCATTTGCCTACCATGTGCAAGGCAATGGATAAACAAATGCAACTACAAAGAGAAATAAAGATACGTTTATTTGGAAGTGTGGAATTTGAGCTGATTCTTGAAGTATGGGGATTATCTGCATAGTGACAGAGAAGAAAAGGCAGATGTTCTCTGTATATGAGCAAAGTGGTAGATGGGAATGCACATGATCTGTTTCGGAGACAGAGTAGAGCAATACGACTGAGTCAAGGTTTCTGGCAAGGAAGAGTAAAACTACAAAGATAGGTTGGACCAGACCATAAGTAATCCTGAAAGATGTATTCAGGAGCTGCCACTGAAGATTCTGAAATGGAGTGAGGGAAGCAAGGGAAGAGGAGATCCCTACAAAGGTAGGTAAAGTTGCAAGTGGTCAGTAGGAAGCAGAAAATACTTGTTTTTCAATCTATTCTAGGTATCTGTGGTGGACTTCTTGGAAATTCTGGAAAGCAATCAAGTATTTCCCCAGGAAAGTGGAAGTTACCATCTGGCTCATGATTTCTGGTTCTGACAGGTTAAACTAGGAACAACATGCAGTGAAACAGAACTTCTCTTCTAGTTACTGTCTAGGGTTTCCAGGCTCCTTTCTGCAGACTTGGTAGGATGGAGCCAAAAACTTTTTTTCAGCTGTCTTCCACTCTGTTTTCACTCATCACTGTCATTCCTGGAGAGTCAAGTGGCTCAGAGCAGAACTGTACACAGAAACTGAGTGGAGCTCCATCCAAATAATAAAGTATGTGTACTCTGTAGGGTGCTAGAAGAAAAAAGGTTGGGAGAGCCATTCTGATTCCCTTTTTCATGTAGTCTCTTTCAGAAGGTCAGTCCTAGATGCTTGGGAATAATTCCATAACATCTGAGGTATAATCCTGTTTTGCCATACCTAAAATGTACCTTTGGGGAAGGATCTTTGGAGTTCGGAGGGAGAATGAGTCATATGTGTATTAGTTTTTCTCAGAAACATAAAATTAGGTCTCATAAAACACAAAGTGGGGCCTGGAATCCAAAATACAAGTCAATCCAAGGAGTGTGGAGCCAGGTGTTCCCTCTAAAGCTGTACTTCCAATCAGACTTTCTGTGATGATAAAAATGTCCTAGCTGCACTTTCTAGTATGGTAGCAACCAGTCATGTGATTACTGAGTACTTGAAACAGGGTAGTTCCCCTTCTCTATGTGGATATATTCCAAGATCTATAATGGATACCTGAAGCTAAAGGTAGTGCCAAACCTTATACATACTATATTTTTTCTTATATGTAACTATGTTAAGTTTGTAAGTTAGGCAGTAAGAGATGAACAACTAATAATAAAACTTTTTGGGAGTAGTTCTGGGGATCAAACACAGGGCCTTGAACATCTGGACAGGTGCTCTATCACTGAGTTACATCTCCAGCCCCAAACCGAACAATTTTAATAATATAACATTTAAAATTTATTTAAAATTTATTTTGAATTATTTATTTCTGGAATTTTATATTTACTATTTTCAGACCACAGTTGATGATGGGTAACTATGAAACCACAGAAAGTAAAGCCACAGAAAATGGGGGGACTACTGTACAGCTAGTGTGATTATGAAACTAAATTTTTTGGGTTTTTTTTTTTTTTTTTTTTTTTGGTACCAGGGATTGAATTCGGATCCTTGTGCCTGCAAGGCAGACAGTGGAACCACTGAGCTAAGTCCCTGGCCTGAAACTAAATTTTTTAGTTAATTTTAATTAATCAAAACTTAAAAGACTCCATATACTTCATGTCTACTGTACACTATAGAACACAGTTCCAGAGTTTAAAAGTGGTTTTTGGTGCCAAAGAGAACTTAAGATTTGGCCCTTAGAGTTAGAGTAACTATATAGTAGACCAAGTCAGCCTACATGCTAGAGCAGAAATCTGATCTCCTAACACTGGATTGTATACTCATATTGTTAAAAGAATTGAGCATGTGCCACCATTGCATGTATATTTTACTTATAAGTTACATCTATGTTCCACTGTCCTGATAGGTATATTATGAAACATGCATACAAAAAATATATATTTGCTGGACATGGTGGCATACGCCTGTAATCCCAGCACTTGAGAGACTGAGACAGAAAAATCACTGCAAGTTCCAGGCCTACCTGGGAGACCCTGTCTAAAAAAAAAAGACTGGTGGCTCTGCTTTGTGTGTGTGTGTCTCTATTTTTTAACAATACTGTGAGACCAGGGCCTTGCACATGCTAGGCAAACACTCTACCACTGAGCTACACCCCCACCCTAAATAGATTATTTTGAACCAATGAGGTAAAATACAAATACAGAAGTTTTAGTGCTCGCTTTGGCAGCACATATCCTAAAATACAGAAGTTTTGGCATCTCCCCCCCATCCCAGTGGAATATGGAGATGACTATGGTTGAAATCAGTTAATTTATTATCTTTCTTGAACTCTCAGGCTAGTCTTTTTTCCCAACTCTGGGTCCTTATTAATATGGGGAAGTGTTGGAATGTAATCGATCAAAAATTCTATTACTAGGCCCGGGATTTAGCTCAGTGGTTCCGGCTCTTGCCTTGCAAATGCAAGGTCCTGAGTTTGATCCTCAGTACAAAAAAAAAATGCTATTACTTTGTTATCTATTGACAGGATCTTTTTTGCTGAAACTATCAGAACTATATCAGAAACTCTATCAGAATGAGGTCCTGAAATTCCTCTATGCTGAGGAAAAAAACAGTTCATCCAAGAGCCCCTACTGTAAGGGAATCATGCAAGGGATATTCCTTAGGAACTGCTTAGAGCTATGTATCTAGCCAGTCATGTTAACAGCCTACCTCCTTAGTTGGACAGATTGTAGCTATAACAACCCGCTAAATTAGATATTATTATGTTCATTTTCATATGAGAAAACTAAGGCTCAGAGACATTCATTAACTTGCTTAGTCACACAGCTGAGAAGTGGCACACTGGGATTTGAACCCATACAATTTGATGTCTGGCCTTTTAATGGTCTGCTATACTCTTTTCTGTATAGTACAACTGAGTAAAATATAAACTAAGGGCCAAAATAAAAAATGGTAGCAGGATCAGCTTACAGTGAGACTTCTCAGAAGAAGTTATAAGCTAAATTATGTTGTTGCTGTTGTTATTGTTTTACTTTTTGTTATGGAAAATTTCAAATTTTCAAAATAACTCCCTTGCTCACTTTAACAGTTATGAACATTTTTACTTTTTTGGGGGGGGCAGTACTAGTGGTTTGAACCCAGTTCCTATACACTAAGATATGTTCCCAGCTCTTTTTAAATTTTAAATTTTAACATAAGGTCCTACTAAGTTGCTAGTTTGCCCAGGCTGGGCTGGAACTTCTGAGCTTCCTGCCTCAGCCTCTCAGAGTGCTAGGATTTCAGATGTGCCCTGCCACTCCCAGTTTAAGGTTAGACTGTGAAGAGGATAATGAAAATGTGTATTGGCTGGGAGGGAACTGCAGGTTAAGTCAGTGGCCTTTAGGAAGCTTGATGGTGGAAAGAAATAAGCCTGGTGCAGAAAGCAATGAGAAGATGATCATTTGGCTAATGGATATATTTTCAGAAAAAGAGATATTTTATGACTTCCTTCTGAGAATGTGGGTTAAGAGTGCCCAGGACAGCTAAAGTAAGAAGTAACCTGGTTCTCACTCCCTCTCTTCCCAATCCAGGTTCCCTAGGCACTGCAGGCCGTGTCTGTAGCAAGACATCTAAAGGAACCGATGGTTGTGAAATTATGTGCTGCGGCCGAGGGTATGACACAACTCGAGTCACTCGTGTCACCCAGTGTGAGTGCAAATTCCACTGGTGCTGTGCTGTGCGGTGCAAGGAGTGCAGAAACACAGTGGATGTTCACACTTGCAAGGCCCCCAAGAAGGCAGAGTGGCTGGACCAGACCTGAAGACACAGATACCTCACTCATCCCTCCACTTCAAGCCTCGAAACTCAAAAGCACAAGAACCTTGCATGCACACCTTCCTCCACTCTCAACCCTGGGCTGCTACAGCTTTTATTTAAAGACTTGGAGAGTAATCCAGAGGGACCCTCGTGTCCTAGCTGAATCCTTAGCCCTGGGAAGGAGTTGATAGGGAATATAAGAAACTGAATGGCTCCCTGGCTTCCACTCTGTAGATTTGAAAGGAGAGTAGAAGAGGTGTAGGGGGTCTTCAGAGTGATCTGAGTTGCACTAAAGAACCAGTTTTCAAGGTCAATGCTCATTTTTCCTTTCTTTGCACTGGTTTCCTAACACTTCTTGGGTGTGCAAGAGAAAGGATCCCTAGAGACCTTTTCATCCTGCCCTGGCTGAGGATAGATAGGGCAGAGATGGAAACTGCATGCCCTTCCCTGGAGAGAGTCTGAGCAGATTTCCTGGTACCCAAAAGATAATGATAACACTGTATTATGGAGAGATTGAGCCTGCTAGACAAGAGTTCAGCAGTTTATAAACTGCTGTGTTTTAGAGGGGGAAAATCATATACAAATACGCATTCTCTCTTTTCTACATGTATTAGACAGCACTGCCTCTTTTGCTCACTTGCTGCCTGCTCAAACTGAAGTGGCATACAGTGGGTTCCCATACCTAACAAATCATGAGAACAGTCTGGAACAGTACTAGGAGAGAATAATATCGTAAGTCTGAGTAGGCCCAGGGATTTTTTTCCCCCCATTATTCTGAAGGTTAGCTAGGTTTGAGAAACACAGTAAAAGATAGGTAATTCATGAAGAGTGGGAGAGGCAAGCAAACTTGATCTTAAGGTTCACATGAAGCCAGTGTATACTAGGAATATAGGGATCTCTGGCTTTGGATTTTTTTTTTTTTTTTTTTTGAGATAGGGTCTTCCTGTGTTGCCCAGACCAGCCTCAAACTTGTGATTGTTTTGCCTTAGCTTCCTGAGTAGCTGGCATTACGGAATGTGCCACCACATCTAGCTTGGCTTTGGCAATTCTTTAAGAAAGGACTCTAACCTTTGAAACTAGGAGTGGGAACCAGTGTCTGCATAGAGAGAGCTGGGGCTTGGAGCCAAAGTGGTAACAGTTCAGAAGGTCCTCACATTTACTCAACAAATCTTTAGTGACTCTCCAAGTCCTGGTGATTATTACTATTCACATTTGGAATAGGGCAAGATTCCTTCTATGCTACTATGTAACCTAACTAGGTGTGAGGTAGTGGAGTCTCTAGAGATAGCAGACTCATTAATAAACTGGAGGAGAGGACATGGAAATCCCAAAAACCTTGATGTCCTAATTTACATATGTGTTTTGACAGTGGTTATCTCTTGCTTGTTATTTTAAAACAGCAGAGTGATGTAGAAATTTGCAGTTATAACAGACCTGCGTTAAAATCACAGCTGTGTCACTTGTTTTTATTTTTAGCATGACAAGCTAAATTTTCCAAGCCTCTACTTTCTCATCTGTAAAATATACCCATCTCAGATACTGAGACTTAATTATACTGCAAACTCCAGCCAACAGATACTCTTTACCAAAGCTCCTAAATAGTCAAGCCCATCATAACTTCTCTAGGAACTTCCAATTTAGAACTGTATGATACTGACAGCAGGCTGAAGGTTAGGAGATCCATACAAGGAATTCTAGCCCCCTCTTTCCTTTCCCAGGTTCCTCTCCAACATCCCTTAGGATCCTCAAATGTCTGTGGAGCAACTTCACTCTGTACAGGCAGCAGGAGGTTGGAGGAACCACAGCTTTGGGCCACAGAGGCAGATTTATTTGGATGATAGGACTAATATTTGTGTAACCTGTTGAGACCTGTGTGGGAGAGTTTAGGGTGGTTTTTCTTTTGGTGAGGGGATCTGCTCCAATTTCAAATCCATTAACACAAAACATGAGCTAATCAGGGCCCTGTGGTCTGTGGTGAGGGGATGCCTGTGGAGAAATGGGACTGAGTGAGTCAGGCCAAGGGAATGTCTTCCTAACAGAGTGAAGTCAACTGGATAACTGATGAGCCATTGGTGGGATTGGAGTGGGGAGACGTAGAGTGGGGGAAAGAAGAGGTTGTGATATCTTGGGGTGGGATTAAGAGAAGGAAAGCTCTGGAGTAGTAGTAGGGACGTAAAGGGGTCATGGTCAGTCTGAATTCAAGAATAGTTCTGAATGAATTTACAAATACTTCCTTGTATACTGGGCTGCTGGGAAGAACCTCAGGTCCCAGCCAGCTCCTGCTCTCCTAAAAACAACCAGGTTACTGTATCAGTGATGGTAGAGGCCTTCCTTGGGAGGTCAACCTGAGTTAAATCTACCTGTTCCCTATTATCTTTTCATTTGTGGTTCTCACTCTGTGGAAAGAAGTGGGTGGACCTCATCCAGCATTTCATATAGTCTATGCATTTTCCTTGCACTTCAAATTTAGCTCATAAAAACACAAAGTTTTACAATTTCCTATGAATGCTTAAGAACAAACTGTCCACACAGTGAGAAGTTTGAAAAATGAAGTAGATAAGCAAGAGAAACGATGTCTTTTTGAGCCTCACTACTGAAGCTGGGTGGGCCCAAGAAGGAAAGATGGCTAAGCAATTAATTTTTCCTCTTAGTCCTTAGCTCGCCTTTGCATTCCGATTGGCTTTAGACAACTGGCATTCATTCTGCACTATACAAACAGAAACTAATTTATTTGGAACAAGAAACAAAACTAAGAACTTTATTTGGTGCAGTAAGGGCTCCTTTTAATTCTGCTGCTACTCCTTCATCCTTCCTCTAAGTGTCCTCTCTCCCATCCCTCCATTTGATAGATGTCTGTTCTTCCCAGCAGCTGTGACTTAGCCTGTCTCCTCTTCCACTCCTTGTTGGTCCTCATTTCTTTTAACTTTTGATATTTAGGTATAATGCATTGCAGCAAGTGCTATTTGGATACAAAGTTAACTTAAAAGATACTATCTCTATCCTTTTAAGAATTTAGGATCTTTTTTAGAGAATCTACTACTAAAGTACCTCAGCAGTGTGGTACGGCCTGTAGTCCGTTTTTCTTAAGAATGCTAGTCTTAGCCTCAACAACTTTTATTATTATTAGCTCTGAATAATGGCACTAATCCATACTCTTGCATAGAGAAATGCTAGAAAAGTGAATGTAGGATTTCAGATTAATTAAAAGAATCAAATATTGTCTTGTGGGTCTGTTTGCAAAAAATTTTATAGATCTAACATGAATACTCAGTGTTTCACTTCTATTCCCTATTGCAGTATTTCTTCTCCTTTTTCTCATATCCCTTTATCAAGAGCACCAACCACAAGTCCTTTGCCAAATTCTCAGACCCACTCAGGACATGAGTTTTTGCATGGCTTAATAGAAGACAGATAATAAGGATTTTTTTTCCTCCCTTAGCCTTTCTGAAGTTTTTATTTAAATGCTCTCAGTGGTCATAGTGTAGAAGCCCAAGCTTTCTGGGAAGAAGGGAAGATGCCAGGGAGAGCATGTTTCTCATCCCTGGGAGGCATTCAGCCTAGCTCCTGCAGCCAAATTACAGCACCAGAGAACAATGTGATGCATTCCTGGGCAGGTCGGTGGGACCCTGGGCGCCTGGGCCTTGCGGAGAGAGGTGCCAGACACAGAGCTCTCCGTAAGCAATCCTGCAGAGCCGCCCCCTGGGTGCAGAAATGAAATACGGGAGAGCTTCACATTACACAGAGACCTGTAGCTCACACCTGGTTATTGATGGCCTTGGTGGAGGCCTCTGCCCCCACCCTCCACTTGGGAACTGCTTGCTACTACGGGGGTTGGGCATCTTTGAAGAATGTTGGAAAAAAAGAAATGCTTCCTTTTTACCCTTTGCTCACTCTGTCAGCCTGAGAACAATCATGAGGACACACTGACACGCACATATGAGGTGCACCTATCTAGACAGACACAGCTTTCCTTGGGATGCATAGGAGTTGTAGTGGACTCCCCAACAATAAAAAAGCAACTAGGTTTCCAACAAGATTTTGATTCTTCAAAAATCATACAGCAGGGTCTAGCTCTAACCAAGGAACATGCATTATATTATCAACATGCAAGCAAGTGTTTTGTTTGCAAACCAGTACTCCCCTAGAAAGGGGAAGAACACAGAAGAGATCAAGGGTGGAAAATGACCACCCCACCAGAGTGGCTGAGGCTAAATCCAACCCCTCAAGACTGGTTCACACTCAAGACGGTGATACGCATCCTATACACATAGGATGATAGAGCAGTTTCCTGCGACTGCATAATTGCTAAACCTCCTGCTTATGATTTTACTCTAACTTACTGGGCTAGAAAACAGAATAGCTTTGGATTCCAGAGGCACAGGAAGAGATTAAAAAGTACCTTTACTGTGGTAAATATATCAGTTACTGCACTGAATTAAGATTTCCCAGAAATCTTGTTGAAAACCTGTCCTGACTGACAGATTTCAGGCAACAGTTAGCGGGGTGTCATATATATAATTCTCATAACTCTGAGGTAGAGGTTACTCTCATTTTATGAGTGATTCAGATTTGTCCAAGATGACATGGGCAGTGAGTCAGAACTCAAACCAAGGTCTTCTGACTTCGAACCCTGTGTACTCTTCTCAAAGCCTGAGGATGCCTAAGATTAAGGGAGCCAGGATGGCACCCTCAGAACAGAAATTGCTACAAAATGTTCAAGACAAATAGAAGTTCTAGGACTGCCAGGAGAGTATATCTGAGTACAGTTTATAAAGGAACCTTTACCTGAATCTCAACAAATCCCCCTTTTGCTACTTTAGCCACTGTCACCACTGCTATCAAGTGATTATAAAGTATCCAAATTTAAACAACTCTGGCTTCTAGTTCTTTTGGCTTTTAAAGTATGCATTAGAATTTCCTTTGAAACTTCATTCTTTTAAAAAATTATGTCAATCCTTGGGTTAGGAAAGAACAGGGAATGAAAGTGCTAAAAAACCTTCATCCTGTCCCAAGCCAGATGCCTACTCATGGCCTACTGAAGATCTTGGGACTTCTAGTTGAGACGAGCAATTCATCTACACCAATTTTGGGGCATCTACCCTGCACAGAAATCCTGTGAGACAAGACAGACAACAGATTTTCACTTTATCAAAAACTTTTGCTGTTCTCAACTCCTCCCACCCTCATTCAAAATCTGGACCTCTGTTTAGGTGCAAGACAGTGAGAAAAAGCAGCCCCAAGAGAGGATGTATGCAAAGGGAGCCCTTCCCTGTCCAACTGAGGAATAATTCCCTTAAAGACAGCGTGAGCCCTGGAATACCCTACCTATTCTACTGGTGCACCCCAACTGTGAAGTCAGAAGGGAAAGTAGCAGGAACACAATGTTCATCAATCATAGACCTGGGAAGCTACAGCACCCTGACCTGGGCCTCTGCTTGGGCTAGGGGAAGAACACCTCAGGAAAACAGTCCACCTATAGTCAGGATTTTCCCCCCAGCAAACCTTACTTTTTGGTCCATCGATCTTGGCTCTCACTGCTCTCCCTCCTTCCCACCCCCACTGCCTCTGCATGTGGGCTCAGAAGTCATCATCTAAAGAATTCCATTGCTCACCTCCTGCATAGCAGCACAGCCCCAAGAGGCCACACACCAGATGGAGGGGATAAAAGTACGAGGTCATGGCTTCTAGCGAAAGGCTTTTTCTTAAACTAACCCTGACTCCTGGAAAAGAGGCAGAGCAGGAGAGTGTAGGGGAGCTGCTGAGGACAGCAGCTTCATAGGTCTTGTGTGAAAAGAAAGGAAAATTATAAAGGCTCTCAGTGGAAATTTCCCTACTCCCATCTCCTGGTCTCACATCTACTTCTTGAAGGTATCTGAATAGAATACAGAGATTATCAAACCAAAGGGTTAAATCTTTCCCAACTGTAGGGACCCATTCAGCAGGTTGCCACACACATGCTGAGGTGAAGGCCAATTTCTGACCACATGCCTTGTTTCTCTAGGAATCTAAAGTAAAAAGAAAGGGTACAAAAGGTGAGCTGGAACTGTGAGGAAATTGTAAAGGTCATCAGTAGCCCTTTGTGTACACTAAACAAAGACAAGGGAATGGAGGAAGTTCATCATTTCTGGTATCAATTTTTTAGGGTGACAATGTACCGAAACAACAATCACAAAGAAAACTAAAACAATTTTAACAGACTGAGAAACAGAACCCTTAAAGGAATTAGGTGAATGAGATTAATCAGAGATGGCTTTCTCCAGGACGTGACTTCAGCATGAAGTGGTTGATAGTTGACAGTATTCAGAGGAAGGCATTCTAAACAGAAGGAACTGGTATGTACCAAACCTTAGAAACAAGAATATGCAAGTAATATGTAATGAATTTCAAGAAAATACACATTATATAAATTGGAAAATGCAGAGAAATTACAGCGGTGAGATCGGAGCTT